AGCGGTCACGCGGGCAATCGTACATTGTACTCTTCCGCATAGCGTAGCGGATAAATTCCCGCAAATCGGGTTTCTGTTGGCCGTATTTCATTTTAGCCACCGCGGCATCAAGTAGGTCGAGATACCGAATGAACCTGGGACTGCTTGTGTGAAAGTCGCATGTGCTTTTATGAACGTTGGGGGATGTTTCAAATGAATCGTGCAGTGATGGCAGGAGTATTTCAACGTTTCGAAAACAAGAAGCGCATGCAGTGAAATCAGGGATGACTCTCCTGGTCTCGGGGTCAATTATTTTGTACCATGTCCGAATTGACGGGACAGGCCCCTGACATGGCCGACAGCTCGGTGGTGGGCGCGAGATAAGATATAATAGCTCAAGATGATTCAATCGAAGTTTGAGGGTTTGCACCCATGCCAATCTTATCCACGGTTCGCTGAAGGAACAGCGAACGGTCACATTGGAAGGCTTGGGTTGGCTAGTGGTGAGAAGGTGTCTGAATGGCGAGCTTCCGACTTGGGTTGCGCACGAAGGACAGATGTCTAGATGGGGGAGCCCTGCAAGTGTGGACCAATCAGTGTATCCTGCAATTGAGATTGGTCTTGGGCATGGCAACAAAGAAACGCGGTTCCCATCCTCATATTGGTGCTGATGAGCCGGATGATGTGGAGGGATAGTGGAGTTCCAATACGGATATTGCTCCCCACGAGCTTCACCTCCTGGAGAAAAGTGTTGCCCACCATAGGGAGGCTGTATTGGGTAGCCCATATAGGGCACATACGGAGTCGTGGTCCAGGTTGGCGGAATATATGGATAGGAGTAGCCAGGGGGAGGATAATGCCAGTCTGCTGGAGCGTAATCAGGGCTTCCCCATGTAGAATTATTGTTGGATGGGACTGTGTCTTCTCTGGCTGGTAGCCTACGGGCACATTCTGGCCCAACAGTCTGTCGACGCCGCCGAAGAGTCTCTGTGCGGGTCTTGTCATTAGAATCTTCGCTCTCGACATTCAAGGCCTCACCTGGTAGGTAGTGGTCGCTTGGGGGTTTGGACCGAGAATTTTGTGGCCAATGGTTCAGCTGTCTCCCATGTGGCAGATGTGTTCCACGGTAAGACGATGATAGCTCATCATCGCTATACCATTCTTGCTTGGAGTCTGAGCGCTCATGATATTCTTCGTCATCAGCAGGGAATTGAAGACTTAATCGTCGGCTCTCTTCGTCTCTTGGTCGGGGAGGGCGTAAGGAAGGGTGCTGGTATGCAGATGGAGGTGACCGCTTCGCGTCACCGCGAATCGTTTCTCGTTTCCGCCCGGAATCAGGCTTATCACCTTTAGTATCTTCGGTACGGTAACTTTCTCTGTCTTGTTTAGCAGCACGAACGTGCTTTCGGCCAAAATCAGCTTCTTTATCAGTGTTAGTTCTAGGTTTTCCATTATGGCCCTGGTTATAATGATCTGAACCGGGACGTGGCCTATCTCCTTTGGCAGTGTCCACAAACCGAACTTTATTGGACCTTTTCCTTTCTGGCAAGCTCCGATTAAGAAGCGATGGCTCTGTCCCAGTGGGCGAATTCTTGAATTGATCTTCGTTCCTTATTGAGGTTGGTATGTTCCGTCTCTGAGATGGGGGGTTAGATGTAATATGGCCTGTCTTCAGTTTCTTTTCATCTAATGGTGTTCTTGTTGGCCTTGTGGAAGGAAAATCATCATTATTCATTGTTGGGTAACTCTCTAGATCTTGTAGATCTATAATTATTGGCATTTGGTCTATTGATCCTGGGAAAAGTACTGGAAACTCTTCGTCCACGTTTTCCACACGGACCATTCTGGGAGACATTTTTTCCGGGAGTGGGAAACGAAGAGAAATTTAAACCAAGAGATGAAACGGTCCTATCTATGCGGAGTTTTATATAATAAAACAAATCGAAGAGGATGATGACGGGTCCTAACCGGGAGTTTCTGTAAAATAATAATATTTAGAGTCAGGCATCTCCTTAGGGAAAATCCGGCGTTTACGCAACTCACCCCTGAGTCGCGAGAACAAACGATATGCATGGAGAGCAAGAAAAAATAATAATAATATAATATGTCCTGGGAGAGATCCAAGGGTAACGGAGTACTGGCGCGAGCTGTGGACCAAGAATAGGAAGTTTCAAAGGGGTTATTTTTCTTAGGGGAATAATTGTATGCTATGAAGACTGGAGGGCTGAAGTGCGGTTCGAGAGACACTTAAAAAGTATCAAGACGAGAAATGCACAGAGAGAGAAGAGAAAAGAAAGAGAAGAGGGAGAGTGTGTACCGAAATTTTCAAACAAACGTCAACTGCAACGGATGTCAAGTCGGGCAGCAGGGATCGTTTCAGAATCGAAGTCCATTGGGCTCCAGCATTTCCGGCTCAGCATGCGAAGATCGGACAATGGCGGGCGCAAAATGTGGGACCCTGTAGCATCCTGACTAAATTAGCAGCAGAAGAGACATGGCCCCGAAGGAAAGTGATGTAATAGCCAATTGAATAGTCGTCACCTAGATCGCCTCGTCCATTTGTTGAAATTTGTTGACCAATTGCCCTCCCATGCTGTTGGGCAGCAGGGAAGCCATGCGCAGGAGATGCTCGTAACCTGAGGAATGAAGCCTTTCTGAATCAAAACGCAGGGCAATGATCATTTCATTTGTTCTCGGGTGCGGGATGAGAGAAATGCGTACGACGCCATGCATGTCCTTGACGAAAGAAATCCCTTTTCTCATTGTTTTTGTGGTCATCGCATTTCCTCTCCTGCAGCAGTACGAGAATGGAGGGGCCTCCTTGTCTATCCTATTGGTGTAAGATGACTAGGATAGTGCATTAACTCCCGGCTGACGGTTGGATTCGTGCCCAACGGACTTGGATTCGCTGGTAGATATTTCTGCCTGAGCCTCTCATGCTGACCAGAACTCGCCGTTCGTCTCAAGAAGACCTCAAGACAAGGTGAATCAAGTTATTCTCGTGTGCTGTACAGAGGAGGCTGGTACCAAAAGATTTTTACTTGAGACCTACCTGTTAACTAAGGCCTAGTTATGCTTAGGTGGGAGGTTAAGTATAAGACTAGGGGCTATGCTTTCCTCCAATTCCTTATTTTGTACCTAAGTGTGTTTTACTTGAGATCCAACTCTTAAGGGCATTTAAGGACCGCACTTTTCTGCATTATTATCCTCCCCATACTCCTCGGAACTGGCTAAATATTAATGTCCTTAAATAGCTAACTTTTAACTAACGAACTAGGTAGTTATTTCAAGGATGGTTGATTGGATTCACAACTTGACCAGTAACTTTCCAGTGGTCTTCCTGCCTTCGATATCCTATGAATTTTACACCCCAGTTAGCACAGTAAAATCTGATGCCGGCTAGCTGGCCTGGTTGGAAAACTGGTGCATACGTACCTTGTGGGCCTCTTGAATATCTTTTATCGGATATATCTTATGAATCTTCGTCTTCAGTTCCCCTGACTGCAGCAGGCGGAAGAGCTCTTGAGTGTAATGATTGAACTCTTCTTGGGTGTGGATGTATCCGTATAAGGTAGGTCGACATACTTTGGTATTCTTTGCACCAAGGGATCTGTGCCAGAGCATTAGAATGCGCTCTCTCATCAATACTTTATCTATAAGGCGACGAATGTTAAGCACGAAAATCAAAACTTACAAAAGGTTCAGTGGTGGCACTGGCCCACTGGAGTTACCGAAGAAAACCACAGTGCCTTTCCGTTTCACAGCCTTCAGGCTATCTTCCCACGTATCCTTCCCGACTGAGTCGAAAACAGCATTCACGCCTTCACCTCCAGTCACCTCCAGCACCTTTTTTAACCAGTTGCTTCCATCGGCACTTTTGTAGTCAATAACCACATCAGCACCAAGACTCTTGACCAATGCAACCTTTTCAGGTCCACCTGCAGTACCGATAACCTTTGCACCAGCAAGCTTGAGCAGTTGGGTCATTATAATCCCTGCTCCTCCGGCGGCAGCATGGAGAAGAATCCAATCACCCTTCTTTGCCGGATATGCCTCCTTGACGAAAGAAAGGCATGTCAATCCCGTCAAGAAGACAGCCAGGGCCTGCTCATCAGCTATCCCTTCGGGGATTTTCGCTACCCGTGTCATTGGGGCAACGCTGTACTCTGCATACCCCTCCTTATTGAGCCATGCTACGCGATCTCCGACGGCGAAGTTGTTTACGTTAGGCCCAGGGCCCAATGCAACGATGGTGCCGGTTCCTTCACAGCCAAGTATTTCCGGTTTTGGAGAAGGATACAGACCTGTTCTGAAGTATGTGTCGATAAAATTGATTCCAGCAAGGTTGTTCTTGACCAGAACTTGGCCTTCCTTCGGCGTTGGGACAGGTAAATCTGTTTTGTACTCAAGGACCTCAGGCCCGCCGGCCTTCGAGATCTGTATGCCAATTTGGACAGATGGTGCAGTAGAAGACATGGCGCGGGAGATTATGCGCGGCAGAAGTATCGAAGGATTGCCAGAAGTTCGCTGTTGCTGGGGCCAGAACTGAGGAACCCTTGAACAAGAAGGTGTTCTTTTCACGGAGGTCAGAGTGACTATAGAGAACAGGTTAGTCGTCAGGCGCGATGTAGCAAATACCCGGTTGGCAGCCATAATAGGCCATTCTCGACTCGGATGGTAGCTTTAATACTCTTTTATTTATCTTAAACCAGATAGCCGCCGGCCGAACCTTGACCTCGTTATTTACCCCACATATGATGCCAGTTTGTCAGCGATTCAGTGCTCCGTACTCTTACCAATCCGTCCCATCCGAAGATGATCCAGGTAAACTACCTAGGCACGGAGTAGAGGACAAAGCCCGCTTTCAAGTTACTCTGGAGTACGGAGTATTAGTTACTACAACTTAATATTTCATTTAACTTACTATAAACTACCGTGAACTAGTTCGGAGTACGGATTGGCTTCCTCATCTCTTACCTAGGTACAGAGTCCATCCGCCGGTCCATTACTTAATAATTCAAGGTGGCTTAGTCTAGTGGTTAGGACAATACGTTGTGGCCGTATTAGCCCCGGTTCGATTCCGGGAGCCACCAAAATATTACCTTTTTTTTTTTTTCCCATCCATACTAGTTACGGAGCGGAGAGATAATTTTTATTAGTTAAAACAACTAATAAATCCAGTTAGTTACACAATCCCTCCAGGGCAGAAATTTTACACGTTGGTATGATTCCGTATGTTCTAGATTATGATAACCTCAGCAATTCTAATGCTCCCGCACGAATTAATCGCTATCACCACCCTCACTTCTATTCTCACCCTCATGACTTGGCGTGCAAACGATGTGATCCCCTCGCAGATCTCGGGGTTTCTTCCACCCCCGCATACTATCATTGGGTAGTACAGTATAGAAGGAGCTGTATACTCCTACGAGCCTGTTGAAGTAGTGTAGCCCGCAGTTCAGCTCCCATACCTGAGCGTCAATTTTCATCCCAAGGATGAGATGCTGAAGGATTTCGTCTTCAACTAAAAATTCGAAAACCTCAGACGGAACTTCCCTTGGCTTGTCCTTTCCATCACCATTCTCTTCGTGTAGGAAATGGCGATAACGTGGTGTTTTTCCGGGGGGCAAATCTTCATCTGGGATGCTAGGATCGCGCCATGGTATCGCTATCAGCTTCCCGACAGCTTTCAGGTTTTGACCCTGGCTGTGAAAGAAGGTTTTGGTCTCCGCGCTGGTCATTACGACTCCAATTACTTCGAAGCCGTCTTCGTGGACCAGTGTTGCCTTTAGTCCATTAGAATTTGCTAAATCACGAAATTTTACTGCTTGATCAAGGGTTCCTGCTCCTGCGAGCGCGAATTTCACAACTTTCCTAGCAGTTGGCAACGACATGCAAACGTTATCCTCCTTACCATCCCAACTCTGGTCATCCTCATACGCCTCAAACTGGACCCCTCCGAAGAGCGTGGAGCAGGCCTTGTTGAAATCCCCCGGCGCAGCGGCAACCACCTGCTGCATTTGCCAGAGTTCTTTGGAAGCCTCGTCACACACCCTGCGCGCCGCCATTATGGATTCGGTATATTCAGGACAAACATTGTGATATATCACGTAGTTGAGGAAATTTTTTATCGTGCCTGTTGCCATCATCACTTTGTCTTCGGTATCAAGACAATAGAATTGGGGAAGTTCAGAAGAGCTATTTGTCCAATTGGTTGGTCAGAAAAAATCGGTCTTGGGGATCGGGGAGGCACATACAAAAAGCCTTTAGCCACTTTTTCAAAGTCCACGTCCCAATCTTCCCGATTTGCTGGAATACTTGACTCTGCTGTGGCCGTCACAATATCTTCGGCATCTAAGTTCTTAAGGTCTCGTTGGTCATTTCCCTCAAACATCTTGGGGCCAACTTCAACACCTCCATATGATAAATATTTAACAAAGACCTCACGACGGTCTTCGTGCATACGCCGCTTTGCTTGATATCGTTGGATACAGCTCTCAAGACGCCTATCAAAAGTTAGCAAAAAAATATAATAATGGGGATAGGGTCATATAAGGATTGCTACTGACTGAACGGCGGGCTTCGCTCTGCGGTTTCTTGGATTAGTGAAATTGTCATTTGACCCCGAATCCTGGGGAAAATTTGAAAACTCACTTGTCATATATGAATTTTTCTTGTTCATATTCGGCTGGGGTAATTGGGCGGTCGACATAGTATTCCTCGAAGCCTGTTGGCTTGTTCTATGTAGCAAGTGATGCCAATCAGCCTATATGTTAAATATACTCTAGTCGAGATATGAAACTCACTTTCTTCTTGGAAGACTTTTTCTTCGTCTTCTTCGGGGCCTTGACTTTGAGTTCTTTATCAATTTTCTGCGTTGATTCGATATTTACTTGCTCAATATTTTTATCCATTTTTTGCGTAGATTCAAGGCTTGCCTGTTCATTACTTTCTTCCCCCATTTTGTTGTCTGTTGAAGAGGAAGGCACTGAAATTTCCAGTTGTAAAAACAGTGAATAAGAAGCAAGCCAGCAGTCAAGAAAAATTAATTAAAGAGTGAGAGCTGGAGAATGGAATAAGCAGGAGAAGCAAGTGAGTGAGAAGAAGCAAGTGAGCCAGAGAAGCAAAAGGAGATATGAACAAACGGCGTCATGAAACGAAACGCATCCATTGATCTTCATGCATATATTATGCAGACAGATACCCTGCATCATACATATATTGCAAAAAAGAAAAAAGAAAAAAAAAGAAAAAAAAGGGTACTCCAAAAATGAACCACTTAATAATCTAGGTGATTAAGAAAGGTCCGAAATAGTCTCTCCTTAGCTTCTTTTTTTCTGATTATTGCTCTTTATCAATGCAACCACATTTCACGTAGAACAAACTCCACTGCCTTTGAGTGATGTAGGGCACATTTTAATTACATGGCATCTTTATATACCTGTGAGCCTCAAAGCTATTCTGACACTTATATCAATAATGCAAGCAATAATGTAGCCCCACGGGATATCATTTCTTCTCTATTTGCTCAGTTTCGAGTATTCAGATTGACACTATGTACATCAAAGGCATCTACAACAAATCCATAATCTTCGCGGCCGCATCGTCAATGTTGACTCCAAAATTTTCGGCGGTACACTTTGATTCTCATTAGCATTGTATATACTGAAGACCAAGGGGAGAATAAGCTTACCTGCAAGTAGAGAACCCCGTCCTCAATCTTACATTCGCAATATCCAGATTCCAGCTCATCCACGATTCGGACCGCAATCTCTCCCTTCTCAACCGCCTCATTGAAGCCTTCCTGCAGCATGTCATCCTCATTAAATTTTTGGTACTTGAGCTGATATACTGCCCCCTCAAAATATTTTAGTACATAGCTTCCCAAAACGGATTGCCAATCTTCGCGGATTCCGCTTCCCCCTTTCTTCGTAGCTGTTTCGAGCTTCTTGAATATATCCTCAAAATTGGGCGTGACCTTGAAATCAGGCTTGTTAAGTATCTCGGCTAATTGTTTCTGTATTCCTGCTGCTTCAGGGTCCCAGTCCTGGCGGATACCGGTTCTAGCAATGAAGCTCAGGGGTTTGTCAGATGGTGCAGCATTCAATGCAGGGAAGAGGTTGCTCTCTGCAGCTGCGTCGTCGATGTTTGTCCCGAGGTAGCCATCGGCGAAGAAAATGCGCAGTTTCCCGTCAGCTACGTCACAGCCGCAGTACGAAAAACGTTTTTCCTCATCGTAGTCAAGGGTGATGACGCGCGCATGACAGATAGTGTTTATCTCGGATTTGACGTCGTCACCATACTTGTTTATTATGGATTTTAACTGCCATTGGACACCCTCAACGTATCTAAGCAGCCACAAAATTCGTTGATATGTTAGAATTTGCTACGGACTACCTAAAGTAAAAGCCAGGAAAGGGGAAAACGTACGCCTTGATGCAGCTCCCCAGCGAGTCCTTAGCATAGCCATCGTTGTGGTAAGGCCAGATAGCACTAGGGTTGATATCGATAGTCCAGGCCTCAGAAAGAAGCTCTGAAAGCTGGTTTTCTAGGTCTGGTTTGTTGCTCTCCCATTCATCGCGGACTAGACAAGAAATCAGTGCTGAGACTATCCATGGGTTAAAAGTTAAACCTTACCGTTCTTGCGGACGCTCAGGGGGAGCTTTTCGGCAGGAGGAAGTCGGCCCATAGTGGTTGTTTAGAAGACGAGTATGGGAAATGGCTGGAAAGATATGATCTGTTGAACTGATTGCAATAACCAGCGGGTACTTATATGTTTGTAGCCTTCGTCCTTCTGGTTCAGGGCCCGTTTCCCTCCATGGAATCGAAGAGGGGCTGAGAGCCTCCAAGCTCAATTGAGTTTACTAGAATACGAGGTGGATCAACAGTTGGCGAATGGTCAAACACCATTCGACCACTTCGAGATGGAACCCCTGGCTTAAAAAAGTATGGAAGAGCCACTGCAAGCTCGCCAGCCTTGTGTTTGGTGGAGAGAGCCGAAGGTGCAGAGTTGACTTCAGCCACTCGCTGTTTCACTTTTCCCCTCCTCATCCAGAACGTTTGATGTGCCATTCCTTAATATCACAAGGGCAATCAATCGCGAACGGGATGGAGGCTTAGCAAAGGCTATGTTTTATTAGCGTCGTGCCTGAACTGAATTCTTTCATCATCACTATGTCATAAGTATCTAGGTAATAAGGCTAGTTAAGAAATCTTGCTCAACCTGGAGAGTAAGCCTTGTTCCATCATTTTCAACATGCCGAAGCTGTAGGTAACTAACCTCCATTCTTCAGGGTGACCCGAGACTAACCGATCCACACATACTTTGTAGCCCTCTTAACGTCTTAGTCGCGATTCGAGCCCACTGGACCAAACAAGAAAGCCCAGTGAAGAAGTCCATCAAAGCTCTGTATGAGGAACTGGGTTACAAACTTATAGTCGAGCCAGAATGGCAGCTCCTTTTCAACGAATTGCATTCGTATTACTCCAAAGACAATTTTGTCCAAGTGGTTGCAGGATGCGTTCAGCAGTGCGTGGACAGTCTAATAGACCTCTTAGCTGATTCTGCACATGAACAATGGATAGAAAAACTCTTAGATTATCTTGAATCTCGCCAATTTCTATTGTTTCTTGAGGTACCTAACTCTATACTGCCAACGAAGTTTATTGGAGAGCAGCTAACCACGGACTGACACTCGGCCTACAGGTATCACCATCTGAGGTTTGCTCCACATTTTGGGACAAGGAGAGATCAGGGTTGGTCATAGAGCTACCAAGGTCAAATATCCGTGCGCCTAGGTTCCATATGTTTGCGGAGCAGCTGCTGCACTGCTTTGAGGGAAAGAAAACTCCAGTCGTTCATCGATCTGCTAGATCGGACGATTGGGCAGAGGTCAATGTAGAGGTGGAAGCCGACACTGGGATATCTACACGGCCACAGTCCCCCAGAAACGAGGCTGAGTTTTTGCCAGAGGCAGCGTCTCTCCTTCGTCCCGATAAGCTATTTCTGGACCCGCCCTATTATCTTCTTGTGTCGGCAAGCCGCTCATTAATCGAGATTCAGGGGAGTCACAGCGATTCTTTACGCCTCATC